GATGTAAATACTTAATAATTGCCTTTCAGCTGATTAATTCTGGAACTGAAATTGTTTAGGAAAAATTAGTAATTAATTTCTTCTTATTATTATTCATAATGATGTAAATACTTAATAATTTTCTTTGTGCTGATTAATCCTGCAACTGAAATTGTTTAGAAAAAAAATAGTCCAAATTCCAATTTGGCGATTTCATGGGATAATTGTGAAACTATTTTATTCTTTCAGATACCACCATCTAACTCAATCATTTCAACTAAAATATACTATTATTATCATAATAACCGTTTGCTTTCAATTTTATGCAATAAATTTTCAATATCCAAAAGCAAATGAATTTTCCAACTGTCAGTTATTTTTCATTCTCAGTTTTTTCGTTTTTCATATTGCCGGAATGCATGTGACAGTTATTCCTGATAGCAATGGCTTAATCCTGTATAATTCCCTTTCATTGTTTTCTAAAAATTTCCGGATTAATACATCCGTAAATCTTACATTTGTTAGATCACAAACTTTATACGAACTAGGCAAATCTTCTTTTTTTCTCGTCTACTAAGGCATGATTTCTGTTTCTCAGATTACCAAAGAAAGATACTGTGATATTCTTTAAAATTGTTTGAGTGAAAATTTGAAGTGTTTTCTTTATAGTTGAAAATATAATTGGTTTCTTAATCCGTTAATTTTCCTGAACTATTGGAAGAATTTTTTACTAATTACTTCAATATCGCAACATTACAACATTGTCGTAAAGTATTCCTAAACGATTATACTGAAGTAAATGAGCTTGGGATAAAAGTTTGTTGACATTTTCATTTCTCTTAGCTTCTTTCATTGTTTTGATTGTGATAGGGTTGTATGAGATGATTGGAAGTAAATAATATCTTTTATTATCTCATACAGCCCTATCACAATCAAGCTAACGAAAGAAGCTATGAGATATGAATGAGAATGAGAAGCTAAATCTTCTTAAATACTTTCGACGATGTTAATTTTGAGTATAAAGTTGGAGATAATAGTTGCAGATAGATAGATATTCATTCATTCAAGTAGAATATTGATAGAAATACCGTAATTTAAGTTAATTTATAAAAATATCATAAATGGATCTATTTTATAATAAAACAAAAAAGAAAAAATTTTGTTCGTTAGCGTCGTACGTTATAGGTGCTAATAATATAAAGTGGAAATTGATGATATCACCAGATCAAAAACGGAGCGATGACCGTAGAGATTTTAAGTTATGTGACAAAGTTCATTTCTTTCTATTCATTTGCAAATTTACCATTAGTAAAGATCAAAAATTTCCACTTGAGTAATTTTATGATAATTAACACAAAAGTTCAAGGAGCATTAGTTGTTATTAAAGGTTTAAAATGTTTCTTTTTCTCTATCTCTTTCATTAAGATTCGCTGAATATAAATTATTCTGAACAATTTATTATAACTGAACTTAATGTTAATGATAGTTGTTAACAGTATCAAATTGATGAACAAATATCATTCATTGACTTATTCTGAATAATTTATTATAACTGAACTTAATATTAATGATAGTTGTTAACAGTATCAAATGGATGAGACACATATCATTCGTTAACTTATTCTGAACAATTTATTATAACCGAACTTAATGTTAATGATAGTGTTAGCAGTATCAATTGAACGAGACAAACATCACTCGTTAATTTATTCTGAACAATTTATTATAACTGAGCTTAATGTTAATGATAGTATTAACAGTATCAGATGGATGAGACAAATATCGTTCGTTTTTGTGAATTTATTTTTTTTTAAATTTTGAAATTAAATAATAAAATTTTACAATTTCAAAATCATATTTTTTATTTTTGATGAAATATTGTGATAAAAGAAATCGAATTATTTAACAAAAAATACCAAAAACTTGAATAATTATCAAATGAATGATAAAATATGAAATTGAAGGAATGAATGAAAATTTGTATCTTTCAATTTGGAAAATATATGTGTTATTAATTGATCCGAAGCTATTCATCATATCATTAATTTTCTTGAATCGCTTCATGACATCAATTTTCTTTTTCTTTTTTCATCATTTCTTCAGCAATGATATTACGTTGCTATTTGACAGCTCTTAGATGACACAAAAAGGTCATCCGTCTAATATTGGAATATAATAAAGTTATGGATTTATTTTAATTTCATGCAAAAATATTCAAATTTAGCGATTATTATTATTTTCAATATCTTTTGATATTATCGTAAACAAAAATATAATATCAGAAATGATTGAGTGCTAACAAACTTTTTGAAATTTTCTAGCAATTACTTTGAGAAGTTTTAACTCATTCATAAAATATTACGAGAAATAATAGTTATATATGATTATAAAAATATAAGAATGAACTATTAGTAAATATCTTCGATTCCTTCATTTCTTGGTGACAACAATGAAGTTGAAATTGTAGATGACATATCGATCGGGATCAATATAATCATGTATTTTGAGCTCATCTATCTTTCAAAGTGGTCAACAAGTGACCGGTAAAAGTTGTTTGGTTAGGGAAAGCAAGAGGTGTGTATATTAGATGAAAGAGGAGTAGTAGTAGAAGGTGATCAGCGTATGTTCTTCCTCTACAGGTTTTCTCTCACTGTAATTAATCGTTTAGGTGATGTTGGCGACAACGAAATTGTCGCCTATCTCCTCATTTCACTTCATTCTATCTCTTTTTCATTTCCTGATCCGTTTAGCTCTTTTCCTGACCTTCATTTACATCTTTCATATTCCATTTTTCATTTGATCATATTCCTTTTTTGTGCCATTTTCTCCTTTTCTATACTATTTCTCCAAATTCTCACAATCATCTCTCATAATTATCACCAATAGATGATGATCACCTTGAAAGCAGAAATCGAAATACAACACGGTTCAGGTAAAATGATTTTTGAGATAGATTCTCTCTCTCTCTCTCTCTTTCTTTCTTTCTTTCTCTCTTCTATTCTTCATTCATCGATCATCTTTGTCACCTTTATTTTTCTTAATGTTAATCGTTGATTTGTCTCTTCCTTTTCATTTTCTACATCATTCTTCTATCATCATTCCTCTTTGCAAGTTCATTTCATTTCCCATAAACAACAATTACTATTCTTTTGCGCATCCGCGCCCTTTGCGCCTCTCTTTATACTGTCTCATTCACTTTTTCTTTTTCTCAATTTCTTTCGAACTTTTTCATCCTTCCTTTTTTTCTTTCGTTAAATTAAATTTTTTAAAATTTAAATACTCAGCTTCTTCTGTTGTAAATATAAAATTTTTTTACAAAACAATTAACAGTAATTATTAAAATCATTTTGTTAATGAAATGAAATTTAGTTTATCATTGTACATATCTATGACCTTTCCTTTCACCTCTGCCCTTAAAGGATGCGCCATCGCGAAAGTGCGGTACAAACAGCATTTTCTATTACTTTTTACCTATTTCTATCCTTTCGACATCATTTTACCACATTATACATTTTCCATACTATATTGCTAAAACTTTTCATTTATAATTACTGTATAATGTGCAAGGATTAAACAAACGTTGATTACAGTTATTGTTCGTTGGCTTTATTTAATTATAAATTACAATTAACTCCACCCATCTTACCTGTCCTGCTTTTTCATCCTACTTCATCTTTTGGTTATTCTATGTCTCTAATCAAAGTTATAAGAATTTTAAAAATTTCTCCATTCTTCAAGGCTTTCATCTGTGCTACTTTTTACCTGCATGATCTATATATCATTTTTCCATCTTATAGACATTTTTATCAGTTTATCATATCATCTTTAAATTAAGCAAACATATATTTGCATGCTTTATTGACAAAAAGAAATGTAATTTGGAACGATTAAAAATTTGTTGAAATTTTTAATTTTCGTTCTATTTCAAATTTTCAAATTTGTTGTAATATAATACGAATTCGAAATTATATTATTACATTCAATTTATTGTTTTTCAAATCTAATTTTACTATCACAAATTTATCATTAGTAATTATTATTATTAATTATATTTCTAAGTAAAATTAGTGAGATTTTTGAATTTTCTCATTTTATAAAATTTTCATCGATTTTGTTTAATTTTAATTTATTTTTTATTTAATTAAATTAATTAATTTTATTTAATTTCTGTTTTACTTGAAAATTATACTTCATTTAACTTTTTTTGCAGCCTATTTGTTGCATATGTATTGCTCGATCTTCGATCATTTTTCCATCGTATAATCATTTTTATCAATTTCTAGTTATCTATCATATCACCTTTAAATTATGCAAACATATCAATGTCCCATCTTTTCTTTCCTATTTCCAATAACTTTTTTTTTCATCACTAACCACTTTGTGATACCTGTGGGCAATATATTCATGATGATACTGATGATACTTCTAGACAATTTATCCTCTAATTTATAATATTTTGGAATGATTTATCTTATCTTAAAATTCTTCCATTATCAGAAATGATTATGATATTCCCTAAGATATTGGAAAATTTTTTTAATCAATAATGAATGAATACAATACTTTATAATTATTGCATTAGTTAATTCATAATTATGAATTAACTAATGCAATAATTATAAATTGTGAATTAACATTAGTTAATTCATAATTATGGATTAACTAATTTAATTATGAAATATTGTTTAATTAATGTTCAAAGTATTCATTCATTTGTAGATGACACATTGTTTATCATTTTACAACTTCAACATTTCCATCTTTACAAGTTCTTTTTTCTTCAAATCATTTATCAATTTTAATGAAACAAGAGAAAAGGCTTGTCAAATATGTCTAATTAATATCCCTTCGACAACATTTTTATATTTCTTCTGCACTTTTTAGAAGGAAAACAATTATGAAATAAAATTTTGACAAATTGGTTTAGAAATATGAATAATTCATTTTGTGAAATTTATTGGGAAATTCATTCGTAATATTTTGCAACGAATTTATTAAACGAATTAATCATTGTGTTTTAGATGTCGCATCAACCAATTCGTGTTGTTCAACCACCGATACAACAATCAGCAACAAATTCAAGAGCTGCAAGAAACTATCAAAGGTTAATTTGTTTTGCAAATTTTATTTAACTTCAAGAAATTATCAAAGGTTAATTTGTTTGCAAGTTTTATTTTAATATAGTAATGACAAGGTACAAGGATTAATTGAAAATTGAATTTTGCCTAATATTTCAACCTTTGTTAAATTTTGAATTTCAGCAATTAAAATTTCAAAATTAATTTAAATTTTTAAAATATCAGGACTAATTATTAATTAGTAGAAAAATGATATATTCTAATGTATTTATTCTTTGATAGATTCTTTTTCTTCCTTTTGTGTATTTTCAAAATATCATTTTGACATGATATGATATGATGCATTCTGAGGATACTGAAATGACTTTTTCCCCCTATCACACTATGAGTATTATCTCATCAAGAAAATAATCATCAGTCTTTGTAAATTAATATAAATTAATTTCGATAAATAGACAGAAATTATTACTTTACTAAGATATGCTTAATTTAAAGTTTATAAATTTGAAAACTGTGAGTTAAATTTTTTCAGTTCCAACTCCATCAGATATGATGATTTGATGCAAACTGCAGAACAACAACGACGTTTGATTGATGCTAATCGACGACTGATTTATGACCGTGAAAAACGTGGGAACCATGTCGATAATGCACCGATACGTTTAGCTGTCCTCAGGAATGAGGTTTGTATTATCGAAATTTTTATTTGATAATTATTAGAAGTAAAAGGACGTTGATTATTATAAGTGATGAGATATGTTCATATATCTAATTATAAGTGATATTTTCATATATCAATTATTGCATACTATAATTAATATTAGAAGCTTATGAACGGATGTCCAAAAATATTTTAATTTAAATCTGCAATTTTTATTATGAAACAATGTACCATTTTTGGACATTTTATAGAATGACTCAATCATCTTAATTTTGGTGAGACTTTTTAATAGTTTTTGATAATTGATAAAATCAAATCTTACTCTATTTCTCTTCATCATTATATTCAATTTGTTACAATCTCTTCTTACTTCATATCTTTCTATTCGATTCTTTTATATATTATTATATTTATTTCCATTTTATAGATACTATTTGAGGAACGTGAAATGGCTCGTTTAAAAATGATGGAACGTGAAACACAACAAACAGTAAATCGTCGAATGATTACTGAAAGACAATTGAATGATTTACAGATGAGCTATACATCACACGAGCAACATTTGAGAAGTGTCATTTCTAAGATTACTTCTTTGCAAGCACAAGTACGGATACATTGTTTTTATTTAAATTTATTTTAGTCTTTAAAGTGTTTCGGTGATTTGACATTTACAATTAATTGTTATATATGTCAAGGTCAATCTCTTCTTAAGTATGAAAATTGAATAAAGTGAGATCAGATAAGCATAATACACTAATCACTTCCCCTAATGCTATATCATTTAAATACGCATGGAAAGATTATATCCGTAAAAAGAACGATTGTAATTTGAATGAAGCGAAAAAGATTGTAGTGAAATTAAAATGTATGATTTGATTTATTCATAGTTGTAGAAACTTTTCTAATTTAAGTTGGATATACTGCGTCGTCGTCGGTTAATAGCATTAAATGCAGCCCGTGAACAGCAACAGAGATTGATGAGCTCGCAATTAAGGCCTACAAAAGTTGGTTTAAGATTCTTAAATTTTCCTATCAAATACTGAATCTCACTAACGATTAATTTTATGATATCATGAAACGAGAGAATTAGTTGAAATTACTTTTGAATGGTATCATTGAATTTTACTGAGATTTTCTCATTCTCTCTTTATCATTGGTTTACTGTATTATGATTAAAATATTGACAGAATAAAAGTATTTATTCGTTTGAGTGTTCAAATCGCAAATTCTTAAATTGTAAAAATCTTAAATTGCAAATTTCAATCTGTGTTTTACAAATAGCATGCATTTAATTTCCTGCTACCTTATACTTTAAAATTGAATTTTCCAGGTCGATTCTATGCAAACATTACCTATAATATCATCATCATCAGTTGCAACATCAAACAGTGATATCATTTTACGAAATGATACCAGTGGATCAAAATCTTCAACATTAGCTCCGCAGCATTCATCACCTCATATTAAGCGACTGGATCTTCTAGAAAATGATATTGGAATATTGCAGCAGATTCCACCGACTTCAGATTCTGGAAGACCAAGGCATACTTCTGTTGATATACCTTATCGACCACGAGCATCTATCGAACCGTTTCAGGTAATTTATTTATGTTCGCATTTATAATTGTCAGATTAACAAGTTGTTCAGTTATTAGAAGTTATTTGCGAAAATTATTTGGCTTTTTCTATCCATATTTGTGGTATTCTAGAAGGTTTATAGCTTAATATTGTATTTCGAATTCTTAGCAATGCTTGGATTAGGCCGAAATTAATTGATAATTAATAAAAGAACAGAAAATTAAAAGTCAATTTTTATTAATTATGAGTAGTATTCTAGAAGGTTTTAGCTTAATCGTATTTGAATTTTTAGTAGAGCTTGATCGAAATTGACTGATAGTTAGCAAAAGCCGAAATTGATTGATAACTAATGAAAGCATAGGAAATTGAAAGTCAATTTTTACTAATAGTCCACGCTTCTCTTCTAAACTGTCTAAATACTACTAAATAGAAACGTTTCCAGATTACTCAGTCAAAATCTATTATGGATGCTAGATCTGAATTGTCTTCAAGCTGTCCTCCTCAGTTTCCAAATAAGCCATTCAGCGTTTCTACGTTTGGAAAAGACAGGTATTGTATTTTACTGCACATCTGATAAAGTTATCATAGTTTTATTTGAGGTGATGTATATAATAAAGGCATAATAAACCGGTGGTGCATAATTCAGACTTCTGTCCTAATTTTTTGAATTATTAAGTTTGATTCATTTCCTAAGTCATCTTTGCAACTCTTAGCTTAGTTTACATTCTCTAAATTATTCTTAATGTTGAAATATTTTCATTTCAAGGTCGAAATTTCAAAAATTTAAACTGTTTCTCAAATTTCAATTTTTCAGAGCAAATTTCATCTTTGTCGATCGTAATAGTTCACCTTCACCACCGAAAGATCCATATCCGACAGTTGAAAATACATTTGACAATAAAATAACAAAATTGGAGGAAAAAACGTTCGATGTAGTTGATCATCAAAATAAAAAATTATCATCGTCTACATCTGAAATAGTGGAAAAACATGTGCCGCAAGAACAGAAGAATATAATTATGAAATCGAGTAGCACTGCGGTGATGCAGGATGAACAGTTGTCATCGAATATGGTCGATAATACGAAACTAGCAAGAGCTGATCAAATCTCTATACGACCCGATACATTGCGCGCTGCAAAAAGAAGGTTAGAAAGTGATTCTTTTTTATTTTTTGTTTTCTGAGAATTCTTAAATTTACGACACTTATTTTATTATTCTTCCCGAAATGTTTACTTTTTATTTCTTGTTGAACTTTTCTTATAACAACAAGGAGTTGAATGAATTTAGATTATTGAAGTAGTTCAATTTTTCTTCTCTTAGATCCTGGGCTCTTCAAGAGAGTGCATCATGTGATGAAACCGAATACATCCGGAAGATTTTACTTGATGAGCAGAAAAAAGGTCGTACTCATTTATTAGTTGGATGTAATATTGGCAATCTTTTTGCCGTTGTAAACAAGGTATATATTTCAGTTACTATCATTTCACAAATGTGACTTTAAAGTTAAACGAATAAGAAACTTTTTGATTTTCAAACCAAATATTAGTTATTTAAATTAAATCTTAAATATCCCAAATTTTTTTACTCTTCTATGTATATATATATAATCTGCTATAAGTTAACCGATCGATTTTGATGATCAGCTATTAATTATATTGATACATTGTGAAACCATCCAAATTAATTATATTAATCAGTTATATGACGAATTATCCGTTTAACTGAATTACTTGATAATTCGGTACGCACATTATGTGATACTGTCAAATAATATATTATTTAGATTTTTCATCCTCAATCTATAAATGCGAATTATTTTGGATTACTGATATAAAAAATTGTTCAATGTTAAGTTTGATTAAGCAATTCGTATTTCAGAATGCAACTCCTATAAGCAAACCCGAAATAATCCATGAAGAGGAAAAGGAAGCTGTGGAAGATACTGCGACAACGCCTAACGAATACGTGTATGAACTTCTTATGAAGGATATTCAACTTGATGAATTACCAGTTGAAATTGAGCAAGTGGAAGAAAATGGACAGGAGAAGAAGATATCTGCTGACGAGGAATTTGTCGGAGAAGTAATTAATGAAACAGAAGTGGAAAATAAAACATCGGGTATTGCGGAACTTATCAAGCCATCACCCAAGAAGGTATTTTAATTATTTTTCAATCCTATTTTCTTTTTTTAATTTCATATTTTCATCTTATATGTCCTATTTTTACAATTTATTTCATCTTTTATGCATTCATTATTCATCCATCTCTTTTGACATATTATCACGAGATGGATGTACTAATAGCTGAGTGGTGTTGATTGCACTGTGGGATACTCGAAGACCCAACAAGTCACTGTCTTAGAATGTACTTAAGTTAATCAATTTGAATAGCTATGTCATTAACGAATTGAAATGGTTTGTGTGTGTGTGTGTGTGTGTGTGTGTGTGTGTGTGTGTGTATGTGTGTGTGTGTGTGTGTATGTGTGTGTGTGTGTGTGTATGTGTGTTTGTTATGTTTACCGATTGTTGTCTTCTTTGTAACTTTTTTTCATACTTGAAAATTTTAAATTATCAAATTAGGAGAAGATTTGATATCGCAAATATTTCAGGGTATTCTTTGTCGTAATAAAGTAAAAAAAATTCCAAGAAAAGTAATTTTCGATCCGCTTGCATTATTGTTAGATGCAGCTCTCGAAGGTGAAATGGATTTGGTGAAAGCAAGTGCATCGAAGGTTATTTTTGTTTTCGTTGTAATTTTAGAGCAAAAAAATTTTTGTTTTAGCATAAACTAGGAATTTTCGAAGTTTTCGTTTGTTACTCTCTAAAGGTTTCATCTTTTGCAAAAACAATACTCTTAATTTCAAAAATGGCTTCCGAATTTTTCATCTTGAAAATTGCGCAGTAGTTGTTGTAGATGGAATTATTGATTAATTTCATGAAATTAAATATTTATGAATTACAATTTTGCTTTCAGTTGCCAGATATATCGGCATGCAATGATGAGGGGATTACGGCGCTGCATAATGCAATTTGTGCTGGCCATTACGAGATTGTACGTTATTTGGTGGATTCGTTTGCCGATGTAAATGCACAAGTATGTAATTAAAATTTGCGATTCAAATGAATTTGTAATTAAGAAATTTGAAATTTTCAATGAAGTTAGCAGCGATTGGAAAGTTTTCTAAAATTATAGTAGAACCTTATCATAAATTTACCATGCTTCTTTTTATGCCATAATATTTATTTTATTTTGATTTCATGAATTTTTGTTATCAGAATTTAAATCCATATGTTTTGTTTATTTAGGATTCAGATGGCTGGACACCATTACATTGTGCTGCATCATGCAACAATTTGCCAATGGTAAAACTGTTGGTAGAAAATGGTGCATGCATTTTTGCACAAACATTATCAGACCTGGAAACACCAGCTGAAAAATGTGAAGAAGATGAAGATGGTTACGAAGGTTGTCAGCTCTATCTCAAGGCTGCCGATCAAGAAGCTGGAGTTGTAAATGATGGATTAGTAAATTTTTTTCTTTCTATTTTTTCAATTCGAACTTCACCATCTGAATCAATTTTTATGAAGGATAAATATAAGCTACTGATTCAATTTCACTTTTCCGAATATTTGATTAATTTGTTAAATTTGTTAGCTACAAAATAAATTTCTTCCAGATGTATGCAGCATATGGCTATGATAAAGAACAGGAAGATGAATTAAGCTTTCCGGTTGGTGCTTGTTTGCGAGTATTGGAAAAAGGTGTTGATGGTAGGACATGGTGGCTTTGTGAGATTACAACGGAGCATTGTATTGTTAGAAATGAAACATCTGAACGAGGCTTAGTACCACGAAATTATTTATCACTCTATCCAAGTTTATCAAAACGAAATACTAATTTCAAAATGTTTGATTTACCGCAATTACCGAAAATTCATGATTCAAAAAAGGAAAATATGGATGTTAAAGAATGGCGAAGGAGTAATAGTTCAATGAATGAAAAAAATATTGAAGAAATTGAGCAGTAATTACTAATAGTAATATAAGCAATATTGTAGCATAAAAACAACGAAGATATTTCTATGGATATATTTTGATAAATTCATATGCATTAAATTAGAAATTTTATTTCTGAAGAAATTTTGTTGAAAATATTGAAATTATTTAAGTAGTAATTTTCTAGCAATTCAATTATGTGCGAATCTTATCAGGTTAGTTGCCTAGATTTGTACTTAGTATATTCAATTAGTATTTAAGACCGACACTTATCCATTTTACGCCTTTATCGTTAATAACTGTTTTCTTCCTGCTAATTTCAGATTTTTGATTTTTGCAAACATTCAGTAAATATAATTAATGCTTTCCCTTTTTTACCATCTCTTTTAAGTCTATGTATGTTTTTAATTTTTACATTTTTCATATTGCTTTAGTTATTCTTTCTATTCTGATAAAGTTTATTAGTGATGGATCCGGAATTCTTGATAAGCAATTTTAGTTTTGGTTAAAACTCATATTGTCGTTTGATATATTTGAAATGTGTTGAAATCCGGTTTTGTTGAATCGAAATTATGCTTTGGAAATTTTCAAGTTTTCTTGTTTCAATTCTTACCTTTTGTTTTATCTCGGTGATTATCAAACTTTATATTCCATTCTTTGTATACTTTGTGTATTGTTTACCGTTTATACTTTCGATGTATCTTAATTACGCGATGGCTGTTCTTCTTAATAAATATACTTCCTGTGCATTAGTTTAAATTTCACCAATCATTTTCATCCTTTTCAATAATTTGTTCATTTTTAATTATTAAATTAAATTACTTAAATTATTAGCTTATTTTAAATTTTGATTCAATCAAAAGATTTGAAAAATTTTTATCAAATTTTATTTCATTTCTAAAATTTGTAAAGTGCAAAATAAATATTTAAAAATCTAAGAGAAAACAAATTATTTGAATTATTTGTTTATACAAAACTATTCTTTCATGTTGTCTAATTTATTTTTCCGACGATCAAATTATCAATAAGATAAAAATTTGATTAGCTTTTGCAAATGTTTAATCAAACATTAAAAGGAGAGATTATGCAATCAATTATTCATGATTTCTACGTTAATTCTTAAATAGCTAGAGATAATGATTAATGATATGATATTTAGTATTCCATACACAATAACTATTCTTTTAATTGTCATATGATACGTACGATATTCTGGAAGTTCGATTGAGTAAATTTCACATATACAATAACTATTCTTTTAATTTGCAATGAAACAAAACTATTTTAGTTGGATCAATTAGATGCTGGCAAAAACAAATATGTGATTTCGTCATTGACAGAAATTTGTCATCGATATTATTTATAACTATAATTGGCCAAAAATGATATAATTTAAATATGTACATGTATATATGGCTTCGATATTATTTATAAGTATGTTTTGATTATTAGCAGCTAAAAAAAGGAAATCATTTGTACTGGAATGAAAGCTAATGAGAAGAAGATAAGGTATATTAAATTGTAAGCTAATATATTTATGAATTTAGCAAAAATTTTCACTTACTACTTCTGCTTTATTGATAGAATAAAAGCAAATGTTGCCTACAGGAATTTTTCTGTCCGATTAACTTATTCTTGTTTTGGCTCATTTAAGCTAATTCCGTCGAAGCATGAATAAATGATATAGAAGTAGCAGCTTTAAATCTAAACTAAATTAAATTTGATTTCATCCATCTAATGGGATAGAGAATGAATGGGTGGAGAGAGTTCATCATTCCTCATCCATTCCTTTTTATCATCCTTTAAATCATTTTCATCACCAAAACTACGACTTCTTTTCTACAACTATGCTATCTTTTTTTCCGACTTCCGCATATTTCATTAATTTTTCCATCATTAGATCCGCAAATCCTTAGCTTTTACAATGCTTCCGTTCTCGGATAACTTAACGTTTATCGCTTTTTTTTTAAAAACACAAATCGACAAAATCATTAACTATTTGTTGAATGGAAAATTTATTATTGTTGTTGTTATCCCAAACTGATAATATTATAGTTTTTGATTCTTTTCAACAATTTCAACAATTGCATGAAATGTTTTTTTCCTTTCATTACTTTTTAAATTTCATCCATTTTGATTTCAACAATTTAAATTTTAATATTTCATTTTCATTTTAATGAAATCCTTCAGCAAATATTTTTCTTGATCAAATTGATCGATTTAATTTTTTTGCTGTTAATTATCAGCGATCGATGTTTTGCTAAATAGAAGAAAATTGAAATATGGAAAGGAAAAAAACAGAAACATTTAAAATTTAGGTACCGGATTATATTGGTATTTTCCGAATTTTTAGATATGAAACGGGGAAATTTGAGGGAAGAAGAGAGGACGAAAAAATATGAAAAGGAAAAAAAGAGAGGGCATTTAAAATTTAAATACCGGATTATAATGGTATTTTCCGAATTTTCAAATATGAAACCGGAAAATTTTTGATTATTAATTTAAATAATGAAATAGATGATAGTAGATATTCCCTTTAACAACAATGATAATCAATTGAACAGAAAAGTTATGCGTATTTCTTAATTTTTCAAAGAAACAGATTGTTTATTTTCGTGTGAGCAGATGATATATGCTTCTGGCATGCAAAAAGTTAATTAAAAACTTGAAGGAAGGAAATCGATAAAGTAAATTCGAATTGAATCGTTTCTTCCTAACGAAGCATAGAAGATTTCAAGCTGTTCTCTATCAAATCAATTATAAACAATTAAGTAGGTAAGGAGAGAGAGAGAGAGAGAGAGAGGAAAATTCATTCTCTGAAATAAATCTTCTATTGCAAAAGTTAAAATTGTCATCAATCAAAATAGATAGCTTATGAAGTGAAAGATAGATTCTGTCGCCATTCCAAAAATGAATTCAGGTGTCTCTTCAATAATGAGGTGAAGTTAGAATTGTCATCAATCAAAATAGATAGCTTATGAAGTGAAAGATAGATTCTGTCGCCAATTTCAAGAATGAATTCAGGTGTCTCATCAATAATGAGATGATAATAAATGTTTGCATGGAATAGGAGACCGTAAACAATTAAGCTTTAAACTAGAAAAAAATGTTAGAATTTGTAAGGATATAGAAAGGGTGAAAGAAATGAGATGGAAAAATTGAAATGAATTTTTCTTCATTGCTGTTCTTCCTATTAGTAATTGTGTTCAATTGAAGTGGATGATTTCAGCAGTAAAGGAAGAGAAGAAGATAGAAAACGAAGGTTGGATGTTAAAATGCCTAAATAAGATTATGCTATTCCAGAGTGAAATAAAAAAAATGCAATATCCTCCTATCTCTATATATCGGATATGAATTCTTTGATTGAGGAAGAAGAGTTAAAACTTAGCCTTTATAGTTTGGCCTAGAAAAAAGTAGAAAGAAATAGCAATAAAAAGGAAAGGATGCGGAAATATTTCGAAGAGAAACGATATTAAAGCGATCAACCAACCATTCTTGATTTCATATTTTATTTCAGGATATGATTTTTTTTAAAAAAAAAACTTTCAATTTTATTATTTTTTTTTCGTCGGATCTTTTTTCTTTCGCAATCGTTGAAATTAACAACACAAATTTAAATAATAAATCACAAATGCGGAATTTCAACGTTTTTTCATCGTTTTTTGTTTTATTCGTAAATCTTTCAAAATCATTTAGCAATAATAAAAATAATGTAATTATCGTTAAATTTTTTATTTTTTTTTCTTTTTCAGCTTTCTTTGTTTGATTTAATTAGTAAATGAAGTAAGTACTTAAGTGATATTAGTACTTAAGTTAGTGATAATATATTAACAGAAATCGATAATTCAATACAGGGAATAGTAGTGGGTAAGTAGTAAATAGTGATATTAGCTTTATGATGATGGCGGTGACAATCAATTTGGTGGCGGTGTTGCCATAGGCACCGAATGATATTATCCTACTGCTCATTTAATGTAATTGCTGTAACGTTAGGTGATTTTAGTAAAAGTCACTTAACTGCTAATTAAATGATCGGATCGCATAAGCTAATTGTATAAAACTAAAAATTGATGATTGAAATGAAATAATCATTACCACACTCAGCTACCCGAAGATTATATTGTCTTAAATGTTTTATTAGAATAGCATTCTTTTTTACATTATCACTTATATAGAACATATATCATTCGTTATTTTCTTACTGTATGTGTATTTTGTTCGGTAAATAATTACATGATCGATAAAAATTGTTAATTAGATTTTGTATATATTCTAATAATCTGTTTATTCCAAAATGAAAATATTAAGTTTCATGAAATTATCAAACTGATATCTATTAAAAGAATTCTTATCATAAATAATATCAATGTGTGAGCAAAAAAGAAAAACAAAAACTAGCTAAGATCAATAAAATTTAATCAAGTAGAATAAATGAGTTTGTTATTTTTACGATTAGTTAATTAATTAAGCTAATGCTGCAGTATTTATGATGATTGTAGTATGATTACTACTAAAGCTACAGTAGTAATCATGATTGTTGCAATCATTAATACTGCAACATATCATAATACAAATATTAATAATAAAATCTCTGATATATAGACAAATTATACAGTATAATTCTAATTTACTCTTTTATACGACGACCATCTGATTTAGAATAAATTTAAAAATTAATTAATGAAATGAAAATTTGAAATAATTAAAAATAAATTATTTCAATCTCAGTTTCTCATTGATTATTAATATTAAATAATTTCTTAAATAATTTTTAGGCATTTTTCTTTCACTGAATTACGAATTTACTCTTTCGCTATCTTTATAAAAATTATTTGTTAAGTTTACATGTATATGTGTGTTTGTGTATACTTCTAAAAGAGTCATACATATATCCATCAATACCTACGGATATTGCTTTAATCCAATAACCAATAAATACATTAAGGTTAATAAATATTAAATTCATGGTTGAATTACTTCTTCTTTTTTCATACCTATTTCGATAGTTTCTTTTTTTTCATACCTGTTTTAC